TGGATCCGGAGGTGCGGCGCTACCGTCGATGCCTGGAGCATTACAATCGTCCCTGGCAACGAACGCACATTGACGGCCCGGCGCCGCTCGTTAAAGATTGCGGCGAATGCAATTCGCGAAGCAGCGGTACAGTGTAATCGGTCATATCAGCGGCGCCGGCTTATTAAATAGAGCGATAAACGCGCTCCCCTTCGAATTACACATACCCGGATATCAATTTTGCGGGCCGGGTACTCGTCTCGCGAAACGATTAGCGCGAGGCGATCGAGGCATCAATCCTCTGGACGCGGCCTGCCGCGAGCACGACATCGCGTACTCGCGGAGCGGCGAACTCACCGATCGGCTAAAGACTCGACTCTCGGCGAGAGAGCCGCCGCGACGGCTGTATGGATAGCTATGAAATCGAAAACAAAACTTGGAATGGGCGCGACGAGAATCAAGAGAAAGAAGAGCAAAAGGAGGACGACCTCTACGGGGAAAAGAACGCTTCCGATAGCGAAACGCGGCGGCTTCTTGCCCCTGCTGCCGTTATTGGGAGCTCTCGGTTCTTTGGCTGGAGGAGCGGCGGGAATCGCGAAAGCGGTGCACGATCGCAAAGCGGCGCGACGACAGTTGGAGGAATTGCAGCGTCACGATCGCGCAATGGAGGGTCGTGATTTATACCTCGCACCGTACAAGCGCGGAAGTGGCGCGTCCACGACGAGAAGAGGAAGAGCTACAAAAAAACTTCGCGTAAACAGACGCTAGGAATTCTCCCATCCGTCGGAGTAACGACAAACGAACAGTTACATCGCGCGGCGATACTCTCGCGCGTGCCTCACTTTAGAGGCGTGTTTATGCGCAACACGCTTCCATCGCGGGCGCGCCGCGATGAGAGCGGCATCGTGAATTTAGACGACGCATCCCGCCCGGGTACTCATTGGGTGGCTTATGCGAAAAAAGGGGGCGTCGCGATCTATTATGACGGTTTCGATCATCTTCGTCCTCCGCGCGAACTCGCGCGTTATCTCGGGCGCGATGCGAATATTCGATACAATCGTCGCTCCGAGCAAACGCGCGATCAGAATATCTGTGGACAATTGAGTCTTCGATTTCTCCGGGGGGTCGATTGGAGGAATCGCGCGCTATAATATCGACCGTCGCTCGTCGATCGAGCGCAGTTCGGCCGCTCTCGTCAATCATGTCGCTAACTCTTACTCTTTCCGGACGAAGCAGCATTCTCGCGGCGAGTTACTTTCCGCCTCTGGATTTAAACGACGATGATTACGAGTTAGATTAAACTAATTTCGAGACTTATAACACGATACTAAATGTAAATTCCACGAATAATAAATTTTACTTTAACGACAACGACGAGGTTATCGCGATTCCAGTGGGATCTTACGAGTTAAGAGCTATAAGCGCGTATTTAAGAGCCGCGATTCATAGCAAACGACGAGCGAGAGAGGAGATACGAGAGCGCGGGAACGAGGAACTGGAAACGAGCGATGACGATTATATATACAGCGTCGGCGACGACCGCGACGACTATTTCGAAGACGATGACAACGGTGATAAGAGTGAAAATTCTATAACGCTTTGCGGTAATGATAACACTATGAGAAGCGAGATTAAGTGCGCGTATCGAGTAAATTTAACAAAACCCAATAACATCGGTTCGCTACTGGGTTTCTCGTCTCGCGTGTTACAATCGAATAAATGGTACGCGTCCGATAAGCCGATAAATATTATGGCTATTAATCTCATTAGAGTAGAGTGTAACGTCACGACAGGAGCGTATCATAATGACAAATCCGCGCATACTATACACGAGTTCGTGCCTAATGTTCCACCCGGATATAAAGTGTCGGAGATCCCAGCGCAGATCATTTACCTCCCGATCATCGCGCGGACCATTACTGATATAAATGTGCGTGTCGTGGATCAGAACGGAAGATTAATCGATTTTCGCGGCGAAGAGATCACAGTTCGTCTGCACGTGCGGCGAAGACGATAGAAAGGTGCGCGATGCTCGTAGTGAACGGATCGAATGCGAGAAACGCGCCCATCGTCGCTATCGCGTCGCCTCTAGACGCGAAAAAGAGAAAAAAAAGGGAGGAAGGTTAACCGCCTCTAACGCGGCTTTCCTGCGCTCTTTGGGCTTTGTCGTACCAAGAACCGTTTCTCCGTAAAAACGGAATGTGCGACATTTTAAGCATCGGCGGGGAGCCGATCTTTGACGATCGTATCGTCAAGATCGAAACTCACACATACAATCCTTACGCCAATACTACGTTTGGGAATAGCGACGAGATACGAATTCCTATACAACAGCAAGATCTGTACACATTACCGTGCGATAGTTTTCTCTACATAGAAGGTAGACTCGAGTCTAAAGTGTCGCCGAGTGCGCAAGAGGAAACCGCGTCGGTGACGAGGCTAGTGAACAATTGCGCGGCGTTTATGTTCGAGGAGATTCGCTACGAGCTCGATGGTGTGGAAATCGATCGAAGCAGAAATGTTGGGATAACGAGCATGATTAAGAATTACGCGCCGCTGTCAGTCGAAAAAAGCAAGATATTAAAGAACGCCGGATGGGACTTTTCGGCGGCAACTCATTCGTCGATCAACGATTTCAACTTTTGCGTACCTCTCATCGTGTTATTAGGTTTTTGCGAGGATTACAGGCGTGTCGTGATCAACGCGTGACACGAACTTATTCTGATATAGCGGAAAAATCGCGAGCGTGTTGGTTGACATCTAATCATCATCAATTAAAGTGGAATGACGGACACGTCAATTACGGGTCGATGAAAAGACTCGTTCGGGACGTCGTATGCCGAGAATCTAGCCCAGATTCAACGATAAGAATCTACGTCAAAAGTCACGAGAAGAAAAAATGGCTGATCGAGACCTTAGGAAACGTCGCCGACAATCGCGACGTAGCCGTCTCCGTCGAGACTATCGACGCTGATTACGAGGATATCGAACGTTTGGAAACTCTAAACGCTTCGCGGGCCTTTCGCTGCGGATATCACGCGAAGAATTGCGCGTTAGAGAACGCTTGTAAATTGCACGATTGGTGGTTCGAACGACGCGATCATTTGCGTAATATGTGCGATTGATTCTATATTATATTACTTTATATCTACTCGTTTGTATTATAAATTATATTGAATTATTGTATATTGAATTATTGTATATTGAATTATTGTATATTATGCATCATCATATATTATATAGCATATCGAGTCAATTATTTAATCTATAAATTTAATTATATTTTAAGCTCTATATAATGTATCGAATCTATTATCAATTATATAACCTATAAATGTAATTATATATTTTAAACTTTATATATAATGTATCGAGTCATTTATATAATCTATAACTTAAATCTATAAATTTAATCATTTATTTTAATCATTTATTTTAAGCTTTAATAAATGTATTCGTCATACTGTCGCAAAATACACGCTATACTAACGAACCGCGTTTTTTCTTTTATCGCGGTCACGTATCTTTTCCCACGATAATAGCATCTCCTATTTTATACAGATGTCCGTCAGAAAAGTGTTTGATTATCTAACTGATTAGTGTTATTATAATAAAATTAAAATAAATCTAAAGGATAGCGCGAGAGCGAGAGGATATCGAAGAAGGAAAGAGAAGCGAAAAGAATCGACGCTTCGTTTAATATATATAGCATTTATTCATAAAGAATCACATTTTACACATGCGCAATACATGCGTCCAACTGAAAGTTGAGTCTGAACAAATCCGGACTGTTCTCGATGACGCTTCGCGCTTCCTCGCGCAAATCCGAGGCGAGATCTCCCAAAACGTAAGCCTTTATTGCAATTAAATCTCCGTTCACGTTAATATAATCGGCGGCGTTAATTATCTGCTCGATTCGGTCCATATCGAGCAGTTCGGGACCGATTTTAATTCTCGCTATTTCGCACTTCGCCACTTTGCTCTTCACCGTTTCGCGCTTCGTCGACTCGTCACTTCGCTATTTCGCGAGCGAGAATACTTTGACGCTTCTCGAAACGATCTTGCGTTTATAAGGATCGACGCGCGGATGCCGCGGTACGAGCGAAGATAAACGAGTAATAAAAATAGATTATAGAGAAAAATAACAAAGAATAATGCGATAAGAGGGACTCGAGCGCCCGCTAAATAACGCGCATCCCGGATACGCGATGAATGTTTATCGTCGCCGGAAGGGGTACGTTTCTCTAATCGCCCGTCGAGT